ATATAGTTTGTGTTAAGTTTTGAATCATTGGGGACAGTTTGTGTACCTGTTTTATTTATTTTTTTTTTCCGGCAAGGACCGGAAGACCTGCTAGACAAATTCTAAAAGAGCTTTAACACTTGTACCTGTTTTAATACTGCAGCCACTAATCTACTACACTCTGGAAATACTCCAATCATCATACCTGTTGGAAGACCCACTGGCTAAGTCACATGCCTGCGATCACCATCTAGTGGCAAATCAAGGGAACTGCAAAATCTTAAATCTTTCCTAAGGCCTATTTTAGTAAAAGAACAGCCCTTAGGGCTAGATTCAACCTTCTTTTTACCCAGAGCTAAGATTCATTTAGACCAGGGTGATACAGGAAAGTGGACCCCAAAAATGGAAGATCAGGCCTGAAGACTGAGTCAGTTCTTGGCTTCACACAGGAAAGAATTCAAGAGCAAGACAACAGAGTAAAGCAAAAGCACATTTATTAAAGTAGGAAAAGAAAAATGAGGCTGCCCCATAGGGCAGTGGCTACCTCTCAGAGCAACAGACAGTGAGTTGCTGGGGTCTTATTTTATATCTTCTATTTAATTTTATGTTAAGTGGAAGGAGGATTATTCATAAGATTTCTGGGAAAAGGATAGGGAGTTCCCAGAACTAAGGGTCCTTCCTCTTTATAAATCATATAGGGTAAGTTCGGGGAGTTGCCCCAGCATTTCTAAACAGTCATGGCACTGGTGAGAGTTTCTTTTAGTATGCTAATACATTATAAAGATGGTATAATGAGCAGTGAGGGCAACCTAAGGTTATTTTTCTGTAGCCATCATGGTTCTAGCTGCTTTTGGTTGGCTTCTCCACCACTTCCTGTTTTATCAGAGACGTTGGTTCGGGTCTTATGGCTCCTTATCAAGCAGGGCCTGCTGTTTCCCTGTCTTAAGGGGGCACCTAGGTTCCTTTACAGCTGTGGACTAAGAATGGTTTGTACCTTCTTTAAAGGTTGAGGAAAACAAATCAAAAGAAAACTAGTTTGTGGCACAGGAAAATTATATGAAATTCAAATTTCAGTGACCATAATTAAAAATGTATTAGAAAATAGCCACACTCATATGTTTACATATTTTCTATGCCTCCTTTCACACTACAACAAGCAGAGTTGAATATCTGCAACAGAAGCCATATGGTCCGCAAAGCCAAAAATATTCACTATCTGGCCTTTGTAAGATATGTTTGCCAATCCCTGCTTAGACTAATAATAGCTTAATACCTGACAATGCTAAATAGGCCAAGGGAAGCTTACTGCTTCCAAGTGCCTTCATTAGCTCATTCATTCATTCATTCATTCATTCCACAAGCACTGAGAGGAACACGATCAAGGAAAAAGTTCTTGTGTACATCTACCACTCACATTCCAGGATGAAAGGAACAGCTTCCCTCCCTAGTAGACCATGATTAAAAAAAATTAAAATAAAATAAAAAGACCATGATATCCTGCATACATCCCTGACGAAACTTCACACTCTCCGGACTCTGTGTTTTTACTCAAATAGCATGCTTGCTTCCCTCTTTCTCCCTCTGGCTCTAAAAAATTCTTAGTTGTAAAATGCTGTCCTCCCCAAAATTTCTAAATTCACTCATTCCACATGCATTTATCAGCACATGTATCAGACACTGTGCTCAGTGCCCCCATGTAAAAATGAATAAAATATAGGCCCTGTCTTTAAGACATTGACCATTTAACGAGGATTATGAGCATGTAAGGTGGTGAGAGATAGAAGACAACAACGAAAGACGTTCAGGGCAGTCTGAGGAGCCAGGGAAGAAGGCTTCAGAAGAGAAGTGGCAGACAAAGAGAAGTGGGGCGTGGGAGAATAAGAACGGGAGGAGACCATTTCAGGCCCAAGGACACAGCAAGAGCAGAGATGTAGAGGTCAAGAAACAGCATGACATGTGACTACCGTTGGGTGGGTATTGCGGGAGCTACGGAAGCTGTGTTATACCATACTTTACCATTCTGGCACCAGCACTTTTATATCCCACTGTTACATGCACATTTGGAAGCTATTCTAACAGCAACAACAACTGTTTGAACGCTTAAAATTGTTCTTTATTTACATTACCACAGGTTTCACAGCACCTTTTGAGGTGCTGTGAATTGACTTCTGACTTTACCTGAAATTCCTGTCTCTCAAAAATGTATGAAACCAAACAGTAGCCCAATTGCTGTGGGACCACTTGCTCAAGACTGCTTGGGTGTGGCTCCCCAGGCCACAGTTACACATATTAGGCTCAAAGTAAACCTCCTTATTTTACAGAGTTTGGAGTTTTTTTCTATTTACATTTCTGAGGGGAAGAGGAGTTCATTAGGAAGAAAAGGAGATGTTAAGTAAGATAGCAAAGGACCTCTGAGACTGTCCTAGGGGACAAAAGTGGATGCCTTACCTTGGTGCTGCCTTGAGCCATTGCCCCACCTGGGAAGAAGGACAAGGGCACCCCCCATATTGGTGCTGCCCTACCTTAATCCTGCCCCAAGTAACTGCCACACCTGAAGCTTTGAACAAGCTTTTGAATCTGCAAAAGAAGGCAGGGAATCCCCAGCCCACAGGCCAGGCAGCCCAGGCACAATAGGATTTGGAAAGTGACCTAGAGTAGCCTAAGGCTAATTATCTTGTCATTACCTGTCCATCAAAGCAGTTCAGTGGTGACATCTGAATCCCGAGGAGGGCCCAATCTAGACACTATAAAATAGGACCCCAGACCATAATCAGAGCCTTTTTTTATGACGAGAGGCCCATTCATTGCCTGTGGCAAATGTATCTTGCTCTTGCTCTGTAAATGTATCTTGTCCTTCCTCAATAAACTTCATTTCTCGCTTGCCTTGCTTTTGGTGTGTCTGGCCATTCTTTGGCCAAGAGCACACCAAGAACTGAGAACAGACAAGATTACCAACCCCAAACCCCAAAAGAGAGGGCATTTCAAGAAAAAGGAGAAGCATATATGGTACTTTAAGTTGAGTTATGCAATAGTATGCATATAAATATATAGGAATCAGTATAGGTTTAACATTACATAATTATAAGGTGAAGGCAGTATAGGGAGGTGAGGGCAGTAGAAAGATAATGAGACCAGGGAGGTATGCAGAAACCTGGTAGTACAGTACTTGGTTTGACTTTTTCCAATAGACTACGAGGAGCCAGTAATGAGTTTGAGATACAGCCTTTTAGCAATATGGAGAGTAGATTAGAGTAGTTAAAGTCAGAAGAAGGGAGATCTTAGCATGTTTCTAGCAAGAGATGATGAGAATCTGAAATAAGACAATGTCAGTGTGACAGAAAGTAGAGAATACCCAAGAGAAACTTTTGCACAGTGCACCAGGAGACATGCTCATTAACAGGAAAATGGAAGTGTGTCTAGCTAGCAATGAAATGAATAAACTACAGCTGTATTCAACAACTTAGATGAACCTCAAAATACTAAGTGAAACAAGTCCCAGAATACTGCATAAAGATTAAATCTTATAAAGCTTAAAAACAATCTAAATATGTTTTAGCCATGCATATATGTAATAATGTAAAGAAAAAGGAAACGATGAATACAAACCAGGGTAGTGATTTATTTGGGAAATGGGGCTTCAGATGATGAGATTTATATGTACTTATTTGTGTTATAATATGTATTTGTGTGTATAATATATATAATAGATGCATATATTGAAAGAGAGAGAGAGAAAAAGGTCACTTATGGACCAATGATGACAACCAAAGATTGTGCTTAATCTAGTCTGTGTATTAAAGACCATAACAACATCACTAATCATTAGAGAAATGCAAATCAAAACCACAATGAGATTGGCCTGTATCAAGAAATCCAAAACAACAAAAGCTGGTGAAGATGTGGAGAGACGGGAACACTCTTACACTGCTGGTGGGACTGCAAATTAATGCAACTGTTGTGGAAAAGAATTTGGAGATATCTGAAAGAGCTAAAAATAGAAATACCATTGACCCAGCAATAGCATTATTGGGCATCTACCCAAAAGAGAATAAGACATTCTATTATAAAGACATCTGCACCCGAATGTTTATGGCAGCACAATTCACTATTGCAAAGATGTGGAAACAACCCAAGTGTCCATCAATTCATGAGTGGATTATTAAAGTTTGGTAAATGTTTACAATGGAATATTACTCAATTCTAAGAAATGATAGTGAGTTAGCACCACTTATATTATCCTGAATTGAACTTACGCCCATTATCCAAAGTGAGGCGACACAAGATCAGAATAATGGGCTCTACATGTACTCACTATCAAATCGGTACTGACTAACACTATGGTGCTCAAAGGGTGGTGGTGTTCACCAGGGATTTGGGGGTTTGGGGGGATAGACCCATAGCTGAGGGATGTGGTGAGCATTGTGGAGGTGAAGGGCATACATCTAACCCTTGCTAGGGAGAGGCAAAGATATAAAATGTAACCAAAATGTTAAAAAAAAAAAAAAAAGAAGAAAACATTTATCGGGTGTCAGGCAGGTGGGAGGGGGAGGAGGGGAGGAGTATTTACATTCAGTACATAGTGAGTGCAATGCGCACCACCTGGGGGATCGACAGGCTTGAAGATCTGACTGGAGGGGGAGGGGAGGCAAGGGCAATGTATGTAACCTTAATGTTTGTACCCCCATAATATGCTGAAATAAAAGTAAATAAAGACCATAACAAAGAAAAGAAAGATTAAGGCAGGAGATAATGTATTTTTGAGATAGTTTGGGGGTGGATCTGTGACTTGCCAGACTCTTTTTCGCCTCAGTTGGTTTTAGATTCATTCTCCCGAGCCGAAAGGCTCCGAGTGCTCTTCCTTCCCCCAAAAGGAGGGCGAAGAGGCAAAAGCCTAACGAGCCCCGCGAGCAGGCTTAGAGCGGAGCCAGGAACAGGCAGCCAAGTCGGGCGCGGCAAGCAAGGAGGCGGGACTAAAGGGGCTTCCTGGGAGCGAGGCTCCCGGCGCAAGCGCAGTAGCGCTCCTCACCGCCATGGCCTCTGCGCCGTCCAGTCATTCGCCGGTAGTGGCGGCGACTTCCCGTCAGGAAGCCGGGTCTCCGCCTCCTCCTCCCACCCCCCCCTGCTCGGCGGCGGAGGCGGCGGCGGTGGTAGCGGTTGTTCTTGCCTCTCCGCCACCTCCACCGCGGCCTATCCCGTGGCCGGCGGCGTTGGCGGGGAGGGGGACAGTAGTTGTAGACGCCCGCCCCTGCCTCAGAGAAGGTGAGTTCCCGCCCCGGCGGCGGGGGCGGCCCGGTCTTCAGCCCCTCAACTCCCGCGGCCCAGGAGAGACTCAGCGCGTCCAGCTCGCCGGGCGCGCCCTGAGAGTGCGAAATGGCTGACAGGGCGCGGCCGGACTCCCGCCGCGCGCCCCCGGGCTGGGGCGCTAGCACTCCGGAGAGGAGTGTGGAGGGAAGGGACGTCTCAGCCTGCCGAGGAAGCTGAGGTCTGAGGGGCAAAATGGAGGCGGCCAGGCAGAAGTCCTGTGGACCTGGAGCGTCATGGAAAGGGAAGGGAGGTTGATGAGGAAACCCCAAGATTGAGGGGGCAGAGATGAAGGGAAAAAATCCGAAGACTTAGAAGAGAGTAAGCCTCTGTTTGGCGAAATTGAACATCCTGGAAAGTAGAAACTAACCAGTAGGGTACTCAGGGAGAGGTGGAGTTGGGAATTGGGGAGAGGAGGAAGTAGCACGGGAACTGTGAAGTTGCTTGGGCACTCGGGGAAGAGAAGAGGGGGTGAGGGTTTGGGAGGATCACTTTGGAGAGTTTTCCTAGGCTTTTGAGGATAGGGCCCTGTAAGACAGACTTCTAAGATTACAGGCCCATCTTGGTAGTGGTCTGAGTTTTAATACATATCTACCAAGGTCAGAGATAAAGCCGGACATTAGAGCGGTGGAAAGGGAGTTCATTCCGTAACTACTGACAGTAGGAGAAAGAGCTGAGCTCCGGCCGGATTTGCCAGAGGTGACTGGGCCCTTTTAAGGGAGAAGGAGGGGGAGGGGAGGGCTCAAGTAGAGTCTAGGAGGTGAAAAATTACAAAGGGTTAGGCAGTGTAAATGCAAGTCGGCCAGCTGTCTGCTAGCTGGGTTCTATCTAAGCTAGTATAGTATCTGCCCCCCCCACCTGAGAGCAGGGGCCCCTGTCCTTCCGGATTACATTTCAGAGGAATGGCATTCAGGTCCTTGAGAACACTCCAGGGTTGTAAGAGATACATACACATCTCAAAGGGACAGAGGATTGGCTACTGTGTGCCCTTTTTAGTTAATGTTTTTAAAAAGGTAGGTCAGGGCCTGTCATCTGGTGTTGGCTAGAGCAAACAGTAAATTCTTTTGACAGCCCAGAGCTGTTCCAAACAGGAACTCAAAAACTCCAAAGTGAGGTGGGTTGCTTCAAGGACCTGGCCTTAGGCTGCTAGGGGCCATGTTAAATTTTGGTTAAGTCTCTTCTTACAGGGGTTTGGGAAGTTTCTACAGTTTTCACCAACACATTTCCCCTAACACAAAAAGCTGTTTCTTGACCATCTCCATCTAAGAGTTCTTACAAGTACTATTATATATCTGCAAACAGCTTGCTTGTTGCAAACTGAAAGAACGCTTTAAAGCAGTTTTGGAAAATATTCTAGATGGTAATGCTTGATCCCACTGCAGAAGATCTAAGTAAAATATTCAGCTATGTTCAGTTTCATAATTTTGATATTTGCTGTGTTGTTACGTTGCTTTTCATCATCAGAGTGAAAGATGATGGAAGCCAGAATATTATAATTTAGATGCCTTTTTCTAGGAGAGACACCCATAAATAGAGCCTTATAAAATTAATTTTTATCATCCTTTTTCATAATATATTGTATTTTGTGTGTTATTCCATAATATTTTACACAGATGTCAGTTCACATGATGCTAGCAATAAGCATGCTATGCCACTTTAAGGTGGCAAGATGAAAATACTGGACTGGTAATAGGTAATAGTGCTAATTTCTCCATTAGCTATATGACCCTAAGTCCCAGACTTTCTGGACTTGAGTTGTGCCATCTCCATGGGGGAATTGGAGTAGCCTCGTGGTTCTCAACTACAGGTGATTTTGCACCCCAGAGGGTATTTGGAACATTTTTGGTTGTCACTACTGGGCAGGGAGGGATGGGAGCCAATCATAATTATGAAAGACAAAATCCTGAATGTTGAAATTCCCAAAGATCAAAATCCCAAAAATCACAATCCCAAAAAATCTACGACTTCAAAATATAATTCTGGATAAAGTAATTTTAAAACTTTTTAAAAATATTTACATTTTAAAGGGGAGTTTATTTGAGAAACACAACAAAACACTTCATAGGCCATTTTACACAATAAAATAGGCATTGATAACATGTTTTTGCAGACACAGATATGCTAATGGCAGTTGCTTGGGTATAACTGTTACAAGCAAATGAACCTTATTCATAAGGAAATAGGTCACAAAGGGCAATGTATAATGCATATCACTATGGTTGGTAATTGTGTGCACCCAGCTTTATAACTGGTTACCTAAAATACCATGACTGCCCAAGAGTTTGAGGCTGCAGTGAGCTATGATCGAATCACTGCACTCGCAGCTGGCAAACAGAGCAAGACCCTGTCTCTGAAAGATGTTTTTAAAAGAATGAAATACTGTGACAACTAAGTCTTTTGATGATCAGTCAAACACTGTAGGTACCATCATATGTATAGCCCCAAAGAGCCAAGATCTCAAGAAAGTTTATCTTTCACAATTGCAGATGTACAAAAAGATGTCTTTTCATTTACTGAGGAAGTTTCAACGTTTTTAGGTACATGCACAACACTGACACTCAAGTCAATGCATTTTTATGAGGTCAAAATGCATAAAACAAATTAGAACTCTCTACACGTTTATACCTCCAGTATTGGAAATGATGTGAAGATGAAATACATAGCAGAGTGATTGTAAAAAATAATGATAATTTACAATGGTGAAAAAGAAAAAAACTAAAAAAATTTGACAGAAAAAGTGTAAGAGCTAGCCTTACATGAGCACTATGTGATTTTGATTTTCGGGATTTTAGACAGGGATTTTATTTTAGGCTTTAGGGATTTTGATCTTTCAGGACTTTAACATTTGGGATTATGATTTAAACCCAGGAGGGACATGGTGGTCAAGTGCCAGTGCTACTGGCATCTAGTTGGCTAGAGAATGCTACATACACCAAAATGCACAGGCCAGCCCCACACATACACAAAGGGTCATCCTATGCAAAATGTCTGTAATGTCGAGGTTGAGGAACCTGCACTAACAAAAACCTGAGTCTTTTACACTTTAAAATTGTGAACTGATTTAGCAGTTCTATGTTGGTATTCTTTCCATGGCATGGCTGTATGTTAGAACAGTAATTCATAAAATATCAACTTTGACGTAATGCCATCAGATGGCATCAGAGAGTAATAAAATCTGTTGAGTTAGGGTTGAGACTCTTCACTAAGATTTGAAAAACAATATAGTTGTTACCTTAAAAATTACCTATTGTGGCTGAGTGCTGTGCCTCATTCCTGAAATTCCAGCACTTTGAGAAGCTGAGATGGGAGGATTGCTTGAGGCTGGAGTTGCGAGACCAACCTGGGCAATAAGGAGACCCATCTCTACAAAAATTCTTTAAAAATTAGCCAAGTGTGGTGGCATGCACCTGTAGTCCCAGCTCTCAGTAGGCTGCTGAGGCAGGAGGCGCTTAGCCCAGGAGTTAGAGCCGCAGTAAACTATGATGCCATTGACTCCAGCTGGGCTCTCTAGGGAGTGAGACCTTGTCTCTGAAAAAAAAGAAAATTGCCTCTTGTCCCTTTATTAGGTACAATATCCTTCATTAACAGTTAACTGCGCTTGACAAATGGTAAATATTTGATGTATCACACTATTTAAACACTATTAGGATCATATAGTTTTCTTTTAGATATTTATAAAGACCTTAAATAATTGCCAATTATGATAGTGGATAACAAGAGATTTTAAAACACTGAGTCGCTACTTAGCCACTATCTTTTTTGTTGTCATTAGGAGATTCCTCTAAAAGGTATCAAAGAATTGACATCCTTCCAGTAACTACAATTTCGCTCTTTCAAAATTCTGATAGGATCATTAAAACTGATTCGAAGAGCATCTGCTAATCCATTTTCACCTACATGTATACATTAACAGAGAAACCCCAAACTCTGTAAAATAATTTAAAGAGATTAATTCTGAGCTGACTGTATGGCCTCAGCCTGGATAACATGGCCTCAAGAGGTCCTGAGAAAATGTGCCCAACACAGCCAGGTTACAGTTTGGTTTTATACATTCATAGAAATGGGAGTTACATATAAAATCATAAAGCAGTACATGGAAGGTGTACTTTGGCTTGGCCTGAAGAGGTGGAACATCTCGAAGCAGGGGCTTTCAGGTTATAGGTGGGTTCAGAGATAATTTGATTTGTAGTTGGTTAAAGAAATAAAGCTTTCTGGGAGGGCGGATTGCTCCAGGTCAGGAGTTCGAAACCAGCTCTGAGCAAGAGCAAGACCCTGTCTCTACTATAATAGAAAATTAATTGGCCAACTAATATACCTAGAAAAATAGCCGGCATGGTGGGCGCATGCCTGTAGTCCAGCTACTCGGGAGGCTGAGGCAGCAGGATTGCTTGAGCCCAGGAGTTTGAGGTTGCTGTGAGCTAGGCTGACCGCATGGCACTCACTCTAGCCCTGGGCAACAAAGTGAGACTGTCTCAAAAAAAAAAAAAAAATAAAGAAATAACTTTGTCTAATCTTCGGACTGTTTTAAGTTAAAGAAGTCTGTTCACTGGAACAAGCAACACACGCGAATAACCTAGCCCGTATCGCGACACCAGCTACTGCTCAATGAGGACCTCAAGTGATCTAGTCTGTTACACGTAATTGGATCGGCGCTGACAGGTGTGTGTTTTAACCTTTGTCTTGTATGGCCTTAGGTCCTGTTAATAATTTAATATCTTACTGTCACAAGAACTCCAAAAGGGAGGTAGCATAACAGGTTTGTCCAACCTCCTTTTTCCATTTCATGGCTGGCCAAGATGGGGTCCATTCAGTCACCTAGGTGGCTTAGGATTTTTATTTTATCGCACATATATCACCCATATGAGGAACTTCTCTGTATTAGGCTTGATAATGAGCAAATGTCAGTAAGAATTAAAAATTGTCAAGCAGGGAAGAGATAGAAGGTATAAGGTTACAAA